CGGCTTTGCCGCCGCTCCTGCCGGAGACGCGGCCTCCGGAACGGAGCCGGCTCCGCGTTCCCGCACGGGTGTCCCTGAGCATTAGGTTGGCGGGTTGTGCTTGCAGGGTGTCCTCAGAGCACCTGGCTCTGCGGTGTCCCCATGGTCATACCCAGTGCCCACTGCATTGGGCAGTCAGACACGGGTCAGGAACGGCCTTGCATGAGCTGAGCCCCAGCAGGCTGGCCATCGATCGCCTGTGAAACCCACATTTTGTGTTTCCAACTTTTACGCAGTGCTGCTTTGGCAGCCGGCTCCGTGTCACCACCATCCACAGTGACTCCGGAGCGCATCCGGCGCAGCCCATCCAAACCTCCCGGAATCTTCTCCTGTCCCTGCCAAACCTCAGCAGCGATGGGCAGAGGAGCCAGCGCCAGCGGTTTCCCAGGGAACGCTCAAAGAGTGGCACTTCAAAGGCTGCAATGTGTCCACATTCCCTCCAGCTCTGCCAGCCCAGGGCTCGGTGCTGGGAATTGCCTGTGTCAGCAGCTGGAGCCTGGAGGGAGGCTGGGGCGGCTGGCCAGGATCAGCACTAACCACCCTGCCCTWCTTGCTGGTCCCCAAAGCATCTTCCTCTGCTGCAAAGGGCCCCTGGGTGACACTCGGGGGACATGGGCTGCAGTGCAACATGTGCAGCAGCAGGTTGCATGAATCATGAGGAATCCATGTGAACCAAGGGGCATCCAGAGCTATGGATGTTGTGCGATATGTATGGAAATCAAGGCTCATCAAGTCCTGTTGGTGTCAGAAACAGTAGCGTTACCCACCAATGCCCACGAAGAGCAACAGCAATTCAGTGGATTGTCCCTGTCATCTCTAAAATAGCCGTGTTACATAAAAAGAAATAATTCCCACCTCGGCGGTGAGTGTATTGTTCAGATGGGCCTGTTTGCTAATGCGATTGACTCCAACCAACAGCACAGGTCGAGCTGTAATTACAGGAAAACAATCAAATCTCTATCTGGGCTCAAACCCTACCGGTCCTGCCGCTTTCCGGAGCTGGAGCAGAACCCGTCGGGCAGCTCGCGCGGAGCTATGCCTCCTTTCTGCTGCCGGGGCAAAGAATCGCAAACCAGTAAAGCCAGTCGGACTGCAAAGGGGAAAGAAAAAAAAAATTATGGCATATTGTCTGTGCAGGTTCACCCACACGGCTCGGCTCGGCTCCGCTCCCGCTGCTGCGTCCGGAGCGTGGCCGGAGCGGAGGAACGGAGCGGAGCAGCCCCCAGGTGAGCCCCGCGCCGCTCCCTGTCCATCCGGCACCGCCGCGGCATTCCCTGGATCGACATTCCCTGTGCAGGGAGGAGGGGGGTCCCCAAAATGCCCCCGAGCGCGTAGGGTGGAGCTGCTGTTGGTGCCGGAGCCCCATCCAGGTGCCCTGTGATGGTCAGGTAGGTGGGTGCGCGGTGGCCTYGATCTCATTCCCGCTCTCCTGGTTTGTGGGGGAAAGGTGGGATTCCCAGCGCGGGATCTCTCACAGTCAGTGTGTTGATGGCTGGGTGCTCCCAAGGGAAGTGGGGAAGCTGGATAGGAACAGGGCTAAGTGCTGGGACAGGGACATGTCTCTCCTGGTGAAAGGCAATGCGACAGCGTCGGAACCCAAAATGCAAAGAAATGGCACCTGTGGCCAGTCTCCTTCATCCAGGGTGGACATGGAAATCCTGCAGCTTCCCAATGTCCGCTTGGCATGGGGAGAGATGCTCCCGGGATGCAGAGGGTTTGTCACCTCACCTCCCTGCTTCCAGCTGCCACCCGTGCTGGAATGGTGGCAGGAGCGGGGCCGTGACCACCCTGCACTCCCACCTGGTTCGGGGACTTTGTCCCCATGGGTTGGACCATTCCTATCACCTGGTCCCCTCTGAACGCAATGGTCCCACCATGGGGAATGTCCTGCAAATGCCACCGTGAGCTATGGTAGCATCACTCCAAACCCAGCCTGGACCATCCCAGACCTTCTTCCCGCTTCCTCGTGAGCTGCAGGGATCACTGAACCATGGAGTATCACAGGAATTAGTCCCTTCATCCCGATGCTGCTCTCTTTGCCGGGAATCCGACTTCCCATTCCCTCCGGGAGCCCAGGGAAGGGGCAGGGGGGAGGCGGTGGGTTTGGGGTGGGCTGCTCCGCGCCCTGCCCTGCACGCGCTGCCTTGAGCTATTCCCTTCGCTGCGCCACTTCTCAATTAAAACGCCGGGAAAACACGATAGAGTTTCATTACCCACTTCCCAGAGCATTTTGAGGCGCTAATTAAGTAATGTTTACCCAAGCTGCGGTTATCCCGAGATGCACGGGCAGATAAGAGACTGGTTTTATCATTTTCCGGCTCCCGGTGCCTGTGCACGGATGCGCCCCCCGCTCCACGGGGGTATTGCGGCTCCATGAGGAGCAGGAGGGAGCAAATCCCGCTCCCTGGAAGGCCAGAGCCAAATCTCTCCCCTGGCTTGGGGCATTTTTGCAGTCCCTACTCTCCCCTTTCCAATCAGCTCCATGGAGAGCAAGTGGGGGCTCTTTCAGGGCAGCCTGTGCCAAGCGGAGTCAGCTGTGYAAATAAATAAATGTCCAGAAAAAGGAAAAAAGAAAGAGAAAGCTCCCAAAGCTGCCAAGTGCACGGAGCATCGGGAAAGCAGAGCAGCTTGGCTTTGGCCTGCAAAATGCTATTGGCACGGCAGATTTTCCATRACTGATCTGCCAGCCTTTCTGAGTGTAAATTCAAGTGATGGATCTAAAATTAGACCAGGAACACRCAGGGGTCGCCAGGAAAATGAAGTTCGGCTGCTGAGGGCGGTCCTGCCAGCAATAGCGGGGCCAAGGGAGCACGGCTCCGAGCTCGTCCGGAGCTGAGGAACCCCAGCCCTGGCAGCTGGGAAATGTTGGATACTAAACCCATTAAGCTTGACTAATCCTACCATGTTAGGACTTTAGAAACCTGCAATTTCTTT